CGGGAGTGTGAAGGGCCGCAGCGCTGGGGTCGCTCGGGCCAGCTCCCCGCACCCTGCCCCAAGGGAGGGGTCTCCAGGGTCGGCTGGAAAAGGGACGAGTTATTCTGCGGGGCCCGGGGCCGGCTCCCCTTCCTCCTAGCGTGGCAGAGCCGGAGCAGCGCGGCTGCGCAGAAGGGGCTCTGGGCAGCTCTGCAAGGTGTTGGACACCTTTGTCGCAGAGTTGAGAGTTCTCAGCTCCCGAGAGAGACATTATTTATTTTTTAACTGCGAGAAGCTAAGCTCCTTTTCGTAAAGGATTCATACTAAAGCGGTTTCATAAGCTTGAGCCCCTGGGGTTGAATATGAAGGACTAACAGCTTTTTGTAGGTTATACTAAGAGTGGATCTCATCTGGTAAAACCCTTCCAGAAAGTCCCTTGACTAATGTTATTTTCAGAGTACTTGCTTTCCGATGAGCAATGATGAGAGGGTACTGTTGGCTTTGTCCTGTGAATACTGTGAGAACTTCTGGTTTTTTGAAATGGTCTCAAATTTAGTGCCTCAAGACTGGTATTTCTGTTTTATGTGCAGTAGTGCACCTCTCACTTATTTCTTGCAACAAAAAGATAATGTTGTAAGTTTTTGATTGTTGGCACTGCTCTTGGTTCCTCCCAGTGCTGTTGAACAACATATGCATTTAATTGTTCATGACCAGTTGCCAAGGTGGCACACACATAAACAAATCAGATGAGCTTCGGAGAAGGGTTTAGGGATCCTTTGGAACAAAAGATCCTAGAGAAGCACATAGTTATACTTGAGAACATAACTGATCACTCTGGTCAAAAGCAATGTGGGGTTTAGGGTTTATTTGGTTTGGTTTTACTTAAAAAACACTTTCTGCAGGTTTAGAGGAGCCTGTGATATTGTAAATGTTGAACAGCATGACAGCCTAGCAGTCCAACTAAGCTTTATTTATTTACTTATTTGTTTATTCAACTCCCTTTTTTCCCCCGCTTCTAATAGAAGGCAGTAACCCTTAGTGATTAATGTGTGCCATTGGAATTGTCTGAACCCTAGTCCTGAGTCATAACTGAGCCTTTTGGAGTCTTCCTGCCTGGGGAACATGGAGGACAGTTTTGGCTCAATTTTTTTTTTTTAATGCAGTAAATACATTCATATTCATTGTTCATATTTTGAACTTATGAGCATCCCGGTATTACCACAACATAAATTTTGATGCTTAAAAAGAATATTAAAGCAGAATTACGCAAGGTTTTCCTAAACATCAGCCTCTGATGCAAATGTCTCTTATTTGGCTTTTTGATGTGACTTTTTTCACGTTTACTGTTTCCTGTGTAAGAATGGCTTGTCTCTATTCAGTCAGCTACCAGTTTCTGGGTCCAAAATACATGACAGTACCTCTGAGGGGAGAGAAGTGGGCAGTGGTGCTAGTTGTTAGCATAAAGAGTTCCGAGACTGGCTGATTTCTCAGGAGCAATGATCAACACTCTCAATGTTTCAACAGCTGTTAGTGGTTTTTATGAAAAGTCCCCTGGAAGTGGTTTTTCCTGAGTCTGCTTCTGTTTATGTAGTTCACCTTTCCTCTGGCTTTACAGGAAAATGTTTTCATAGGATGGATTTAGAGCACCTGAAGAGGCTGCGTCAGGCCAACCAGGACCTTATACAAAGGCTCAGAGTGACGCAGGAAGAGATCAGGAAAAGGTTTCCCAGCAAGCTGCTCTCTCCAGCATCCCTTCAGAACAGCACAGCTACTGAAAGAGCTGTCCCCTTGCCCAGGAGAGGGGTATGTGTTGGGTTTGTGCTAGAATTGCTGGGAAGCACATGGGCCTGGTATGATAGGCAGCAGCTCTGCCCATGGAGTGGTGTGGTAAAGGAGACATATGGGCATGGAGCAGCTGGATGTGGAATATGGAGTCTTGTTAGAAAAGTAGCTAGACTTTTGTTTATTGTTTATCCTGTGGTTTCAAATACGTTCTCTGTGCAAAAGGTTCAGAGATCAGTTTCTGCCTAAAAAATGTAGGTTTGATAATCTAAAATCGGAATCAACATTGTGGAACGTAATCCTTTTATTTCTTCTAAGCACAAGGCTGAAAATTGAGCGGTTCCTCAAACTGGAAAAAGCTGCATTCAGCTGGAAGTGGATCCCTTTCTTATTTTCTCCAAACCCTTAATAATGTCTCACAAATAATATAAAGATTTTGGTTTTTTCCCCACCGGAATTTAAAGGGGTGAGCAGATTAGAATGAGAGATTGATTTGCTCTTACTGCCTGAAACATCCTAACGAAAGGTATTTGCAATCTGGGTGATGCTGGGTGGTAACAGAGTCTCTGTCCTTACAGAAGGAAAACCAGTTTGATGCTGCAAAGTCTCCAGCTGACCCTGCGATGTTGGTGTCTGTGGAACCTGCAGTTTACGCAGCCAGGGCAGCCCTTTGTTCATCTCTTAAACGCAGCAGCAGTGACAGAGGGGTTCAGCAGCAACAAGTGAAAACACAGGAAGCAGGAGGCTTGGATTCCAGCTTTCCTGGAAAAGAGAATAATGTCACGCCAGTGTCTGCAATCATTACATGTGGCAGAGAAACCTCTGGAGTGGATAGGGATGCCCTTGCTCAAGGAAGTCTGGAGAAAGAATCCTTCCTTCCAGGACGTGGAGAGAACATGGAAACCATGTCCACTCTGCCACATGGTTTCCATGAGAAAAAGCAGCTTAAAGATGGTCTGCACTCATCACTGAGCAGCATACAAAGTGAGGAGACCAGCAAGCAGCCTGTGGTCATTAGAGAGCCTGTAGCGCGTAAATCCATCTTGCTGACGGCTCAGTCCAAAGGGTTGAAGGTAAATGGTGAAACTAAGGCTTTGCTCGTTTTCAGAAGTCAATAGGAGGATGGGAAGAAGTGTCAGGAGAACATGACTCGCTCTGTTCCGACTGCGTAAATTGGACGTCGGGATCAGAACTGTCCTGGCCGTAGCAGCCAGGGGCTGTTGGATTTTGTTTGGCCCCCACTTTCCTTGAACCAAAGACCAGAAAACTGTAGCACTGCACTGCAAATACAACTCCTTGTCACTTGCATATGTGACTTATATGCCCAGGGAGAGCAGTGCTGCTGCTACACAGCTTATTTCCTTAAGTGTGAAGGGCAGGCAATTACTGTGATCGTCCTCCAAGGCAGCACAGATGGCCTGATGTTTGGGGATGGGTGATGCTGGGAAGTCAACATTTTGTTTGAAGCCCTGGAAAAGACTGCTTTAGCCTGGGCAAGTCCCCTGCCTCCCCTTTCTTTTTTATGAATCAAGAAGACAAAGGGCTGGTGAGCTAATTACTGGTGGAGGCATAGATAGAATCCAGCCTCAAACTAAGCCACAACTGTCCCATTTGAACAGCTGCCAGTTGTCTTCTGAGCTGTACCTTTGGATGTCCTGCTAGATGTGTAGGAAGTCTTTATGAATTGTTTTCTTCCCAGAAGGAAGCTGGTCGTGTGACTTTTCAGTCTGACCCTGAAGAACACACCGTACCTGTGAGCGGCTGGGCCCTGCGTCCTTTCCTGGGCTATGACTGGATTGCAGGTGAATCCTAAAGTTGATGTAAAACTCTCAGCATGATGTGGTAATATGAAGAGTTAAAACACAGTTTACAACCCCTTTAAGTTGAGATGGGACAGACCTGCTGAGCTACAGCCTAGGCCATTCCCTGGCCAGGCCAGAGGTGACCTGTGCTTCCTTGGAAGGGTGAAGTGGCAGGGGCACAGGAACGCAGGCAGCAAATGGCAAAGCTGAGTGGGGTCAGAGGGGATACCAAGTAACTGGAATGAGTGAATGCAGTACGAGACCCTGCAGTAAATCCCTGGCGTGATGTGATGGCGTGCCCTTCTCCTTATCCATTTTGGTGCTTCAGACCTTTGGTTGTTTTCAGTATTTTTTTGTGAGGCTTGCTTTGGTGCTTACCCAAATTTCTTAAATCCTTGAACTTCTCTCTTTCCTTGGCGTTCTCAGGGCTCCTAGATACAAACTCTTCAGTGGCAGAAAAATCTGATGAGTACTTTGCTGAGCTGCATGAGTTCCGACAGGCCAACAAAGAAGCATGTATTCATCAGGAGCACCTGGGGTGAGTGGCTGTGGGGGAAGGGCTGAAACAGCAGTGTATCCCCTGAGAGTAATGAGAAGTACAGTCTGATGGGAATGGAAAATTTTAAGGGTTGCTTTGTAGGCCTTTACATTCCAATGGGAAATGTGTGCTTGGAAAAGGTGGGGCTGTTCAGAGGGTCTACACTAACTGTCCTGGTTTCAGCTGGGATAGAGTTAACGTTCTTCTTAGTAGCTGCAGTGTTTTGCATTTATTATGAGAACAATGTTGATAACAGATATTTTTTTAGTTGTTGCTAAGTAATGTTTATATTAAGTCAAGGACTTTTTCAGCTTCCCATAGAAGCTGAGAGGGAGCAAAGACAGGACAAGCTGAGCAAAAGCATATTCCATACCATAAATGTTGTGACCAGTTTAGAAATAATAGTGGTTGGTGGGAGGGGGCAGGAGTCCACAGTTGCTGCTCAGGACGGGCTGGGAAACCGGTGGTAAGAATGAATTGTGTCACTTTATTTTGTATATTCTTTTACCATTATTATTTTTTTCCTCCTGTTACTCTTCTGCTAAACTGTCTTTACCTCAGCCCAGGAGTTCCTGCTTCTCCCTGCGCTACTGGGGGTAGGGGGGGAGAAGACGGTGTGAGCGAGCGGCCTGTGGTCCTAATTGCTGGCTGGGGTTAAACCACAACACTAACTCATCTGTTTGGATGTTTCTTTAGGGCCAAGGCTCTGGATTACATAGTTCCTGAACAAGAAACGGATTTGATACCCAGTTCCCATAAGTGTAAGATCAGATTTCTTCATAATCCAATTTCTGCAAACAAAAAATGGAGTAGTCTTTGCCTGTCATTCTGAGAGCCCCACATCATGCAAGACAAAGAAGAATGTGTAATTTCTAGCTGCGGCTTCTAAAGCAGATTCAACTTCCTGCTCCAAAGATACTTGAGTCTTCTAGGGATCCTCTCTCAATAAGTGTCATCTTGTTTTGTCAGGGTCTCTTGCTAATATTCTCTTTTTAAGTTGAGGAGGTTGAAGTTTTTGTTTTTAGGAACTTATCTGGGGAAAGGAAACGTAAAAGATACTTCAGGAAAAGCAGCTCTTTCTATGGAATGCACATGTGGCACTGTGCATTCAACCCAGTCAACAAAGCTGTGTTCTTTGTTGACTGGGTTGAGGAACCTTCTGTCAAACTAGAAATACCATGATGTTTCCTTACTCTCTGGCAGGTGTTTACTGTTACCGATTAAATCAGCGCCTCTTCACTGTCCCTGTGGATTCAGAATCTGTCTGCCCTGTGTGTAAGATCCCAAGCTCTCACCAGCCCCCAGAGGTACTGGAAGAGCCAGCCTATGTCAGGTAGGTAAGAATTACTGCTTTGTAATATGCAGAACTGAAGGAAACGTCAGGGAATTAAAAAATGATCATGTGAGGGGGAACAGCAGTGTCAAAATAACTCTGTAGGAGGTTGCTGTTCTCAATGCAGTTACCTCTTGCTTAAAAACCCACTACTGAGCTTTTCCATAAGCAGGAACAGTTTTGAAGTCAGTGAGAAATGCGTGTTTATCTGAATTTGGTCCAGAATCTGAATGTACACGTTAAGTGTCTAATGCCCTAATCCAAACTGTTTCACTTGCTTCACTTTGGGGTTAGAGCCTTGGATTCCGAGTGCGGAAGGCGATCAAATCTCCTCTGCCTTGTGGAAGGTGTAGGCAATGGCTTCCCTTGTGTGGTTGCAGGGTCAGCATTCCCAGGTCTGCCCTAATGCCTGCCTACAAATACAAAGCCCATCGCAGGAAGAGCTTTGATCCCTCAGACAACCTGGCATTACCTTCGGTAAGTTGCTGTCTTCTTGCTGATCCTGATGGCACAGCCCAAGTGGGGCATTGTTTTACAGCACAAGAAGGAAAGAGAATCTGGGACTTATCCCCTAGCAGGGTTTCAGCTAGAATTTCTGATCTGTGTTGCTGAGATGATAGCAAGAAAAGGCATTGGTGTGTGCTTCTGAGTTCATACCTTTTGTGTAACTGGCATAAAGTATATGCCATATCTCCAGCTGCTTTACATTGAGAAAAAGAAAGTGCCCTATGGAGCTGTTTACTTCTGGGGCATGATTCAGCTGGCATTTCAGGAATTAACCTTTCAACACAATGAGCCATACCTGAGTGTGCCTGTGTTTCTTTCCACAGATGTTAGAGAGTCTAAAAGACAAGCTTCTTTGAACTCCTCACAGTGTACAGGGGCCAGGCAAAATCAGTAGTGGCAAGCATGGATTTAAAACTGATTTTGTAGAGTTGGTTCTGTATTTCAGCCAGTAGACAATGCTGCAGGCAATATTACTAATCGGATCTAGCCCTGCCCTAAAGATTTTGAGGGAAGATGTAGGAAGAAGCCTGGTTTTGCGGTCTAGGGAACCGGATGAGTCAGTTGAGACAGGTTCAGAGAGGTCGGGTGCTTGAGTTCACAAAGCAAGAGATTGTTTTAGGAATCATTTAGAACTAACGGGCCACAACGGATTAAAAAGAGTAAATGAGTCCAACGCAGCATTCCCGTCTCTTCGCAGCATTGCCTGGCTGGCTGGGAAAACACCGTCCCTTCCAGCAGCCCCACACTCGGCAGCTTGGGTCTGCGAGCTTCACTGGGGGAGAAGCCACCCCACCGGGCTGGCCTGGTAAGAACAAACTGGGAAGAATCCCTGGAGATGCTGTGAATTGCACTGATGGGAACTGCAGTCCCGTCTCTCGAGAGGATATGATAATCATCAATGGCTGAGCACACAAAAATTCCTGGAAGATTATCTCCTTATCTCCACAAGAAAATGTTTTCTTTCCGTTGCTGTGTAAACTCCTGTGCAGAGACACCCAAAAGCAAATAGAGCTGGATAGCAGGCAAAAGCCCATTCAGCTCACCAATCTTCATCAAAATGGGAGAAGACACTTAGACGTTCTTTGATTAATATCCTCCTCATTTGGATTCCAGAACTTGGTGTCCAGAGTGTCAGGAGGAACCAGAACTGACCAGCTTCTGACCCACTTGACACACTTCAGATTTAGCAGTGCTTCTCAGCAGAGAGAGCAAAACAGACCTGGACACTGCAGAGCAGCTCCACATTTCAGTCTGAGTGCCTCAGCTCTGTGAACCACTGACAGGATTGCCCTGCGAAAGGCTTTGGGGCAGGGTGTGGGAACAACTCTGTTTGCATAGAACTAAATCTTTGAGCAGATTTTTCCTAGTTTTCATAGTTGTGTGCATACGTGAGCAACCAGTACACATGGCCGAATGTACAAACTCTCATGTATGTTTTTTCACTTTTCTTTTTTGCCTTTTGCAGCTACTCCTAAGCAGATACATAAGCTTTCCCACCTAGGGCTGGATAAAGTGATGTGTACAGGATGACTAGTCTGTAACCACTAGGACCGTAGCAACAGAGTTCATCTGCCACCTCAGCTAAGTAAACAAGAAGTGTAACGTTAACTCTGAATGCCAGGGTGAGGAACTGGCCTAGGAATGGCCTACTTTCAGGGAGATGCATACATATATGTTGATTTCCAAATGTTTGAAACATGACACATAATTTGCTGGTGCCTTAAACTTGAGTTACCCAATAATTTAGTCAAACAAAAAAAAAGTGCAGTTTCTTTTCAGTACAATGTCTGTAGCTACAGGGTACATTACATCAGAGTAATTATGAATGTGCAAAAGCATATTAAAGTAAAATAAAATTTTATTAATTCAAAAGCTAGATAATGCCATAAAATGTTTGCGAATTATGCTTGCCTCTGTTGTTCCAAGTATTTTGGAGATAAACCAAAAAACATTTTGGAGTTTTTAAATTGTACCAAAACAAAATATACAGTGTGTTTTGTTTGAACTTCATAGACTGATCTTACTTTCCTTGTCTAAAAACAATAAAACTGATGATTTACTTTGTTTTGAATAAGCCTGAAACCAATTCCTGCCTCAAGAATTCTGTAAGTTATTGTGAAATCTAGCAATTGCATCCAGAAACGTTGGATCAAATTTATTTCTGGGAATTAACTTGAGAGAAGGAATTGGGTTTGCACCAATGGTATTTTCAGCTTCTTGGCATGCACTGTTGTTCATATATCACATACATTATTTATAAATCAAATGTATGAATAGATTTTTTTTTAAGCAAGGAAAGGAATTTTGCAAGTTTATGAAATCTTAATGTGACATTTAGAATGGGAAATGGAAAGCACAGCTGGCCAGTTTAGCTCTGGGTTGCACATATGTAGGGTAAAGCGAATGGAACTGGTCACATTATTTCCATTATTGAAAGCACTAGTTATAAAAGAAAGAAATTCAGTGAATATAAACCAGTAGCTGCTAAATGTTATCCTAAATAGGGCAAATTCAAGATTGTTACTACCTTGCCTTCAAACCCTAAACATTAGAAGTCATAAACCTCTTTTTAATTTATCCTGAAATAAATCACAGCAATTCTGCTCCAGTTTGTAAATAGAGAAAATGAAGTACTGTGAGATTAAGTAATTTATGTGAGATCCATCAGGTGGATGTGGGACAGACCCAACGTTGAATTCGAAATGTCTCTTGCTGGCTCGGAATACGGTCAGTCTTTTTACGCCTGTGAAAGTATTGAAACTGTGATGATGACTCTTCCTGCGCTAGAAACAGGTGAAAGAAGTGGGTGACACCGCACCTGCGCACTCGAGTTGACCTCAGTGTGTCTCTGTATGTCTTGGTTCTGCTCTGTTTGATCCCACCCTCATTTGCCAGCTGGAACAGACTGAAAATTATACCCGTTTATGGAACCTGGGCTTTTTTTGTTGGTTTTTTTTTTTCTCTTCACCTCCTTCCATATCTCTGCTTTGTAAGATTAAACCCTACAATCCCAGATCTCTTGTTCACAGTAGCAAACCTTTAGAAAAGATTCTTTTCCCCACACACACACTTCAGGGTGGCTTTAACTCTCCCCACATACCCTTCCTCTTGTGTTCTCACATCCCTTTTCAGGTGGAGGTTCTCACAAATGCTGTCTCAAAATAGTCCTTTTTTTTTTTTCTTTTTTTTTAATTATCTGAGCCATCCCACATGCTCTTCTCACTAATATAAAAAAGAATAATTTCACTTTCACATTAGGAGGACTGATTTCAATTGCCATGTTAAAATATTACCACTTTAGTTCACTTTCTTGTCTGAACTGGTATAAGGAGTTATTTCCTTTGCTTTTTATTACTCTTTCAGAGCAGAAAATGGGATTTGCCTATTAACTTAGGTTATGCCCTCATGGTTCTGGGTTGATTTTATTGTTATGTCTCCAGGTCAGTGCAGAATAAGCTTAAATCATGATCCTTTTTCCATAGGGAATCTAACCAGTGTACTCAGGTTTTTCAGCCAAGCGTGTGTTTTGAAATTTCTACTATGAGTAGTGCCCAGGGCAGCCTGTAGTCCATAGTGTACAGAAACAGATTTTTCTGTTGGCCAGCTTGGTCATGTCTTTCTACTCGTAACTGAAATTATCAAAGATTGTACAACCGGATCTTGGTTAATATTGTTGATCCAGAATTTAATCTTGAACCCTTTGTGTGTAGCCACACAGTTTCCCTGGAAGAGAGACAGGAGGTCTGAAAGTAAGTAAACACTTACTTTTTTTAATTAGGACACCTGGCCGTGGACGTGTGCGGAGACCTCATCTTCTAGTCAGAAGGTGATTCACATGTAGTCAAGCTTCTGATCATAATCTCACTTCGAGGTAGAGTTACCAAAAAGATACTTGCTCTACTTTCACGTGACCCACAGCTGAGGTAAATGCGTGCACCTCTTTCATCTGGTTTTTCACAGTTGCTCTGCGGAGGTCTGTGGGGCTACGTGCTGAGCAATGGGGCTGCTGATTGTGCTCAAGATGTCAGAGTTACAAATCCTAGTTAGTTTAATTTGAACAGCAGTAATGCAAGGAATGACAACAGAAAAGTCATTTCTAGAAAGTGAGGTCTTGCTTTATGAGAATCAGATTTATTTTTTTTTTTTATATGAGACAAAATCTCAATCCAAAAGATGGGCAAAGCCTAGAGGAATGCTAAGTGCCAGACGTGCAGGAGATGCCTTTGAACCGAGTGCTGTGAGGAGTAGTTTGGGTGTGGATGTGCTAATGAGTTACAGCGTAATAACAAGGTTTTGCACAGTGGCTTTGTCCTGCAGTAAGTGTTACACAATCCGAGAAAATACACCCTTCCATGAAGGAGAGTGACTGAGATGTCACCTGGGGGTACATTGTAAAGGAGTACGTCTCTTTACTGCTTGAAAAATTGCATTTTGTCCAGTATTAAAGCAGCTTCTGTCCTTGGACTGTGGACTCTGCAGGAGCCTGAGGTGTGATGGAGCTAGTGCTGGAATCTGTGCTTCCAGGGGAGAATGGGGTGAGGGTAACGTGTGTGGGATGTCGGGATTGTGGGTTAGGAAAATGGGAAGGTTTTGAGGCTGGGGGTTTGTGGAGAGGAGGCTAAGCAGAGATGAGACCATAGGTATATATATTAGGAAGCTGGAGTGGTGAGAAGTGTGTTGGGAGGAGGCAGAGGGCGTGAAATAGTGGCACAGTGGAGAGGAGGGCTGGATTGGGAAAGTAGGAATGTAAGATACAGGGTGGGGGGGTTCAAAAGTGTATGGTAAGGAAGGGTTCCCAGTACTGTACCAGTATCTCCAGGGCTATGTCCTCCTTAGCCACAAAATAATGCAAATACTGCATTTTGTTGGGCAGTTACAGGGCTCTGGAAGAGCTTGCCTCACTATGTTGCTCACATTGCGATGCCACTGGAAGTTGGAATAGGCAAAGTGAAGCTGAGCATTCGTGATGTCCTGGATTTTGTTTTCTCCCCATTTGTAGCACTCAGAATGCTCTGATTTAGTCTGTGCAGCTGTGTCTTATGTTATTGGCTGGCTCCAGTGTGTGTGTGCCCATTCATTTGGTTCTCTTCTGGCATGAGTGATGGCTGCTGATGCTTTGATGGTGAAGCTGGTGGTTTAGTTCCCCTTTCTGAATGTATTGCATGTGTATAAATATGATTCATAAGCTGGAAATCCAACTTTGCTTAATTAAACCAATTAGACGCAGTAAATAATGCATTTGTGGTTGGTTATAACAGAGAAGGGTAGTTCAACCTCTAAAATGTAGCCCTGTCTGCTTCTCAGTAACAGGGTTAGACGGCTCTTGCGGTTTGACCCCAGCTGGCAACTAGGACTGAGCAGCCGTTCCCTCACTCACTCCTCATCCCCTAAGTAGGACTGGGACAAGAGGGAGAAAAAGGAGAAAAAAACAAAATAAATGGGTTGACATAAAGACAGTTTAATAGAATGGTAACAGAAGAAAAAAAAGTATTAATGGTAAAAGAATGTACAAAATAAAATGATGCAGCACAAATTGCTTCACTGCCCAATGATCGGTTGCCCAGCCCATCCTCAGCTGTGATCACAGATTCCTGGCCCCCCTTCCCTCTCCCCCTCCAGCCCCTTTTCCATACTGAACATGACATTTATGGTATGGAATATCCCTTTGGCCAGCTTCTTCTGTCTTTGCTCCCTCTCAGCTTCTATGGGAAGCTAAAAAAGTCCTTGACTTAAAATAAACATTACTTTGCAACAGCTAAACCAGTATGTGTTAGCAACAATCTCCTCATAATAAATCCAAAACACAGCAGCTACTGGGGAGGAAATGAACTCTATCCCAGTTGAAGGCAGGACATCAGTGTTTTGTCTGTTTGCTTCCTCTGGGATTACTGTAAGACCATTTTGGTGATGTCTCAGGATCAGGTGTTTCTTGCTGTTAGTACATTTTAAGAATTAATATCAAGAGTCTTGAATGAATGTAGTGCTGAGTTACTCATTCTGTTTAGTTATCAGCATGTCAAGGAATGACTGGCTTCAGAACCCTCAGGTGCATGTGGCATGAGCTTGCTTTTTAAATTATTTGCAAACTTTGATTTTTTTGGGGGGCTTTCATCTGTTTGGAACTTGTGTTTTCAAAGCCCAGAAGGATTTGTTTTCAGAGTGTGTCAAATCTGAAAATGCTAGAGAAATTCTTCCCCTTCTCTTCAGAGTTAAAAACCTTAATTTCACCAGTTTCCTGGGCGATGGCAGACCAAATGTTAAGGACTTCATTTTCTGCTTCAGCTGGTGTATTCCATTGGTTTCTACAGCAAAAGAAAGCTCATCTTCCTTCTGTTAATAGATATGCTATTTATAGCTCTGAGCTTTTAGATGAGGAGAACCAGAGTACCAAAAAGGATAGGAGTTACCCAAAAAGTCTGTGACAGCACTGTGAACTCCTGACTCCCACTCCTGTGTTTTAACCACAAGGCCAGTCTTCCCCAAACATTCTTCTTTTCGATTTTGGTTTAAAATTTATAGAATTGGAACTCGGTGCTTTTTGAACTTCGTTGTTTTATTTCCCAGGCATCTAGAGCCTATTTCAGTTGCATAGTTCAATTGCATATCATAGAGCATATTTCACTTGCAACAATAGCATTAACAATTGCCTATCAGTGAATAAATGTATATTTGAAGAAAAGATAGTTAACAAAGAAAATTCAGGCATATCCCCTTATTATTTTGCACTTAGTAAGATCCTTTGCCTTTCCAGTAATAGAGATCCAGAGTTACTCTGTTGATTTCACTGGAGTTTGTTTGGATTTGTATTTGAGTAAGTGTGAGCAGAATTCCTTGTTGTTAGAAGGAAGTGAAATGTTCGTAATTCCAGTAATCTTCTAAATGGGTGTATTTATTCCCAAAGTTAAAAAAAAAAAAAAGGTAATTTAGGGAGTGCAGTAAGATCATAAGTAATTTCTAGTAAATGATAGAGTAGTGCTTAATCCTGAAACAGCTGGTTTATTTGGGAAGTGTTTATTGACTTACAGATGAACTTCGCGGGTTACATACTTTGCTGAAATAACTGGGCCTGGCTACAGAAGACCTGTCAGTTCACACATACCTGAAAGTAGATATTTTGTGAAATGACAAGGTTCTGCAAAAGCTTCTTTTACCTCTCACTTTGGTTCTGAACTATGCTTGAATCTCTCAGCTCATAGTACCTTTCACTGAAGTTTTCTTTTAGCGTCTTCTGCCAAGAGTTTAGAGTCTGGAATTCTGAGTGCCTGCCTATAGTCTCTGGTTTGATTCTGTTCGCAGTTTAATAGCGTCTTCCAAAAACTGTAGGTGAAAACTAGATCTGATGGGTTAGATTTTAGTTTTAACTCAATAATCTCAAATAATTAACACCTAGACTGAGTAAAAATGCTCAATCTGATACTCAAAATTTAAGAAACAGTAGCATTAAAATGTTTTTGCACGTGTCCACTCCCGCTAACATGGGTTTTATTCACAGTATCCAATCAGGCCAAGCTTCCCTCACCAGTTGTCTTCCTCTCTGGCGAGTTGGTCTCCTTCCCCTCTGGTCCTAGTTGTGAGTTTCCTCTAGTCTAAGCTTTCTGATCCCTTCAGTTGATGCTGTGCTTGTCCTCTATATGAATTAGATGGCACTTTCTTTCCAAAATTTCACTTTGAAGGTCTCCTTGAGAGCAAAGGAGGTAGTCTTCCTCTTTTCCTGGTCATATGCTGATGAGGAAAAATTGCTATAGAGAAAGTCTGGGTTTGCTTCTGGAACTCCATGTGGGAATTCAGTGATGTGAGGATACTGCACAAGAGGCAGCTTTGGGAGTTGTGAGTGGCTTGAGAACGCTTAGAGAGAATGAATTTATTAGAGATCTCCCCTGAAAATCAAATGCATTCACCATCAAGTTTGTGCGGGGTTTGGGGTTTTGTGAGGCTTTAGGTTGGTCAGTTTTTGATCGAATTTCATGGCTTCTCAAAAGGCACGTTCCTGATACAAGAGTCACCTTGTCGTAGGGGAATTCAAGAATTGAGACTGAGGGAAATGTCTGCCTCGACAGTGTTCAGCTCTAACACTTCAAGGTCTGGCTGGCTTGTAAGTAGCTGAAAAACAAGATCTTTTAAGTGCCAGGTAAAGCTCAGCAGCAGACTTGTGGAGAATAACTATGCAATCAAAACCAAAGAATGCAAACCTCGAACATCCTTCTTTGACTATAACTTAACTATTTCAAGTTGACTTTCTAAATGGGGGGAATTACTGTGAAATAAAAGGTGTGAATTTACTTTAAAGTGGCTGCTGCTTATTAGCTCTGTGCATAGACATGCTGTATGTTTAGAAACTGTTAGCTAAAGGCAAGTATGTGCTTAGTTTCTTGCCTCTTACCGGTAACCGATGGCTTTAGAGAAGCCTTCTGGCACGTTCTGGTTCGGTGGGGGAAACCAGGAGCTTTACAGAGCTCCAGAGAGAGACTTTGGCATGAGGTAAGACTGAGCTGAAGTCAAAGCTGGTACTCATGGATTCATTTATATTGGTGCAAAGGCTGAGGGTGGGGAGTGAGCCCCAAAACAAATAATGCTGTTGTGGGTCATTTGTAGGGTCATAGATTTGTAGTATGATTACTCTGGCAAATGAGCAGCAGAAAGACTTTTGCTTTAAATTAAACCAGTGCTGTGGAGGTGTGAAGAAAGGGCATAAAGGATGAAGAAAGGGCATAAAGGATGTTTAAAAAGCCTCAGCCTTCCCATTATATTACCTGTCCAACCTTTATTACCCACCAGTTTCTTTACAGCTGTAACCATCAAACAGCTTTCCTCTCTGCACCGAGGAAGGTTCAGCCTTGAGCATCTCCATTTCCAGCAAGGTACGGGAGGGAGGGCATAGTACAGATGGCATTCAAATAATAACATCTTCTCTCAAGAGCTTTCTCTGTGGAGAATGACAACGTGTAAATCTCCCCTCTTCCAGAAGCTGTAGTCAGAATTACTGAAACTACAGACATGATGTGATCTTTCTTCTAAGGTTGTCTCTCTCTCTGAGCCAGCCTGTGGGCATAGTAATTCTGTGACATGGCTTTGGTTTCTTTCATGGAAGCCAAGTCTTTCCTGAGAGCACTGAGTTCTCTGTCAGCTCTTCTCATTTTTCAGTCTGACTCAAAATGCACTTTAGTTTTGAAGCTACTGTGCGCCAGAAAAAAAAAAAAGACATTTTACATAGATTCTTTTTTCATTACATTAGTTATTTTATCACTCTATATAAGGTAGCAGTATTAGTTGAGATAACAAAAACAGAGTTACAAGATTTTGTTACCCACATCAACTTTATATAAATTGCATCTGTAAGAGAAATCTAATTGAAAATTAAGCCATGTTATTATTATTATTAACATGATCAGTCTGACACATTTTTAGTTGCTTAAACTTTTCTTTCAGTCGAAGTTCTTAATGACTTAATCCAATCAAAAAGTGAATAAAATGAGAGACATCATATCTTGTTTTGCATATTAACACTGAATCCAAGTCTCTGGTAGCAGGAATGCACAGTTACCCTTCCAGAAAATTATATATATATATATACACACACATATAAAAAAAGCAATGCTAAGAGTGACTTCACTGCTTCTGGAAGGCCGGAGCACAGCACTGCCATATATTGTACCATTTAAACTGAGGATATGCACAGGTGAAAGCAATTGTAATGAAAACCAGGGAACATGAATGGAGCCTTTGTCGGGGGGATTTACAGCTCTCAGCTGAAGCAAGGCTTCTGGCGGTGAGACCTGACACCAGCTGAGAAGATTCTTTTTTCCCAGGTTCTCTGCTGTCTGGAGAACTCGTCCAACAGTTACGTTTTGGCTCAGAGTCAGCAACACCAATAATTGTTGCCAGCGTTTCTGAGCTTCCTACAGTCAGGAATTGGCTTTTTCACGTAAGTACGTTTTGATGTTATATTCTGTAATATAAAAAAATAATGAAAATAGCCTTATAATTGCTTGGGAACAGACCAGGATGCATCTCCTTCCGTTAGTTGTTCATTAATTGCCAAGAAATTGTCTGTGTTCAGCAAGAGCACAGCTGATTCAAACAAAAGTCCCGAGTTGCAAACAAACAAGAACTAGTCTGTTCTTTTATTTTAGATTTCTGGTTCACGTATGTATGAAACTTTATATAAAGCAAAGAAGCTGATTTCCTTTTCTGTTATTTTCACTGGAGAACAGAAACACCCAGTGAAAATGTCCATCTACTGACACTGTGATTACTGAAATGACTTGGGATTCCCCTGTGTATTGGGATTTCATTATGACCCCAGCTCACCATAACCACTTTTTTTCCTTCTGGGAACTCTTGTTTTTAGCCATTGCTGTGTTTCAACAAGTATGGAACAAAGGCTTCATACCATCTTCCTTGTTGATTACAGTGAACAAACAAATTTACCAAGGTAAATTACAAAATCCATAGAGCTCTGCAGATCATGTTCATGTTATTGAGGGTGCCTGCAATGTATTTAATGTCTTGCAGAGTAGTTTGATCGATGTGACATAATTAAATGGATTGACAAATATTTAATACTAAGAACAAGAGAAGTGTATGTGCCAGAAAATAAGTGTCAGTACCAGAGTGGCATAGAGGGACAAAGTTTGCCAGTCTGAGGCATACATGGCATAAATGAGATGTTATTCCTTCAAATACTTCCTCAGCTACAGCTAGTTCAGACTCTGGTTGCTTGTTATCTAAGTGATGTTTCTCAATGAGGTCACATCGCAGCAGTGTTGCCCTCCTTCCCTCTGTCCTCTCTGGGCTGCTGAAAGATCTCTGGAGAACGACAGCTTCACTGAGAGTGCCTAAAGTCATTGGGATCCTGGATGTGTTGATACCACAGTGTCACTTCCCAAGATGCCCTGGAAGAGAACTCTCCAGTGGCTAAAAATGCATAAGTAGATAAAGAGAGGTGTCAAGAAAGAGCCATTCTTGGTGACTACTTGCTTTGCTTCCTTTAACCATGAGATTCTTTGCTTTTTATTATAGCAAATGCTTTCATTTTTCTTTTTTTAATGTGTACCTATTTTCAGCTTTTATTTGTACCCCCTGCAATGTGTAGCATGTATGAGCACTGCCCTCGGTACTACTGAGACTCTTGCTGAAGTTTTAGGGTCTGGTGGTGTTTCATCTGGCTATGTACCAAGAGTTCAGTGATTTTTCAGCAGCATACTGCAATGCTCTAAATAGCAACATGGGCAGACACTGAAATACAGATTTTAGACAAGGTTATTTTAATATGTAGTCTTTTAAATTCAGTGGTCTCCTTTATCTGTTTGATAGACGTTTAGAGATGACACTTCTCTTAGTGTTTTTGTCACTGATACATATAGATATAAATTAACTGCACATACGTATTGAAAACCACAAGAAATCATGCTAAAAGTACAATATTAGATTAAAATCAGCCACTTCAAAATTAGAAAATGTCATGAGTACTTTTGCTTGAACACGTGTGTAACTGCTGTTTCTACAGTATTCTATTACTACTTTTTTTACTAGGCTGTCAGTGTCAGCAGAGCTATGAACAGACAATGCTGAAGGAATGTCTTGGGCGCACGTTAAGGAGACTTTCCCTCCTGGCTTAGCTGGGGCTCTGCAGTCTTTTGCTCCGGGTGTCAGGCCACATTTGACCAACTGCTGACTTAGAGGGCCTTCTCTGGTCTCCTCCACTCCACGCAGCACACAAAGGTGATCAGTACAGATCAGATACCTGGTGTCAAAATTACCTAAGAAATAGCTAAGCTTGGCATTAACTAAATCAGTTAATATAGAAAATGCCAAGCAACCATGTCTTTGGGCATCGGTACCTTTGATACCTAAAACAAAAGGAGTTTCAGATGTTAGAGGCAGATGCGTGTAATCAAATAAACATTACAAATAATAATAGCATGCTTATAGGGGCTTTCCCCCCTTTTTTTTTTTTTTCAGAGGGCATTGTCCTCTGATGGAAGAACAAAGATGTAGGGGTTGTTTGTTTGCTTCTCTTTGTTCTGCCTTTTTTTTCCTCTTCATATTAACGTAGAGGATTATTTTCTAGGAAACATAGGCAACGTTTAGAGAACAGTAGCGTGGGTTCGTTATAAAATGGAGGTGCTTCTTCCAGTTACTGATAGGGCTTCTTTTGGAAAACCCCTTTCATTGTATTTGAAATCAAAACACGCAAAGTCTGAAATTAATGCCTTCAGTTAAAAATGCTTGCAGGTTGGAACATTCCTATTAAACACAATCTTTTCACCCTTTTCATTGCTGTTGCTTTTATTAAAGGCTTGTAATAGCATCGTGTGATGTAATAGCCTTTCCAAAAAGCCAGCAGCAACATTAAGCTCTTTCTGCTTCTGATGCTTTTAAACATCTAGTTCAATCAAGAATGAAATTAAGAAGTTTTAAGAAGGATGGCAGCTGGGAAGCCTGGTTTCTCCCAAGCCTGGGAGATGGATTGTTTCTTCTGAGGAACTGGGCTCCCACTGCAGCCTTTCCCTCAGTGAGAGCATTACTAGAATCTGTCGTCTTTATCCAAGTCATCTCCTTCCACCCAACTGTAAACTTAATGACATTGTATCCTCAGCCAAATGTGATTGAAGTTATGCTATGGGTTAAATGTTGACACCATTGATTAAAAAGGAACTGACATATGTGTGTATATATATATATAAAATGCTCAGGAGGCTCATTACAGTCTTATTTTTTTTTCTGTAAAAAAAAGGCCAGAAAACTCTCCCTTTTGCCAGTTTTGGGAAAGTCTTTTGCACATGATGTTTTGTACTCACTTAGTTTTTGAATTAGATGCATTGACTGTAGCAGTATAACTTGCAGCAGCTAGAATTTTCCAGCTTGTGTCTTATGTTGGTTCCTGTCCTTTTGCTAGAAAAGCTCTGATAGGAGCTGATAAGAAAAAAACAAAAGGAAAAAAACAAAAACAAACCAGACAAACATGGCTTACCAATTGCCCTGAATACTATGTCATTTGAAACAGCACTCATAAATTGGGAGAATTGTCTAATGGCATATTATTACACATGATTAAGACGTTTTCTAGCCCATTAGTTAATTAGGAAAAACAAGAATGTAACATTTGGACATTCAAATATGTAGTTGTCTCCAGACATACTTACGACTATCAGTTTTTGTAGCTAAGAGAGCTTAAAAACTGAGAAGCAGCCTGAGAGAGTGAAGAAAGGAGATTAGGTTTATGTGTCAAAAACACAGTATGTGATGTTCTGAAAATGCCTGGGTTTTCTAAGATGGTATTCTGGAGAAAAAAACCAGAGGCAGTTAGTTAAAAGAGTTGTAGCTGTGAGTTGAAGAAGATATTTACATCATCCCAGGGTCCTGTGGCGTGCTCTCATCTTTGGTACTCTGTTGTGATGGCAAGGAAGTAGCTGTGGGTCTTTAATAAAATAATCAATTATCCGACTTTCAATCTCTTCTCACATCTTTTGGTTTTCTTTTTCTTTTGGCTGATAAGAGTGAGAAGCAAAAAACCATGGGTGTGAGAATTCGAATTATCAGTATTTTCCTGAGCACCTCAGAGAGGTTTTCAAGGCAGTCTGCCCTTTTTTTGAAGTGGCTGGCTTTTACTTTTGACAAAACTTTTAGGGCGGATAAGAAAGCTTCCTGACACCTTAAACCAACAGAAATCTTTCCAGGCACTAGAGCCAAAAATGTTATCTGGAGTAACAAATGAAAGTGGGTGAAATGATGAGTAGCAGCCCAAGGGATGATTGTCAGCAACAGGAATTGATTTCAAGAGGGACTGAAGGAGAGAGAAAGGTTCTCAAGAGGATTCTCTGTGGTATGTTGGTGTTTAAATGGCAATGTGTAAAGCTTAAACCTTCTTGGAGTCACCCTGGTTGCTCCTGAGTTGTCACACACTCATCCAAACAGGAGTAAAATGACTGTACTGAAAAAATTACTGCTTCTTACTGGGAACCCAGATGAGGCTTGGTTGCAGCTCTCGAGAGTGTGGCGGGTGGACAGGGCAGGGCTTGGACTCGTGCCTGGCCAAGGCTTTGGGGTGGTGAAGTGCTCTCTGAGGGCAGCCAGATGACTCAGGAGGCTGTGTTTCTGCACAGCCAGCCGTGCACCTCGGGTGACAACCTTGATGCCTGCAACCGACTCACAGAAACCCCACTGCTACGGGACTAGTGATTGACGCGGTTTTGTGTTGTTCTTTTTTTTTTTTTACTTTTCTTTTTTGGGCACCCCCCCTCCCCCTTCCTTCTAAATGGTTTTCTGAGCTTGCTTGAGCCTCAAAGCCTGTCTCCTGCTTGTCTTGAACAGCTGGAATGGCTCTGGACTGAAGGAACCGACACGGAGCAAGACTGGGCTGGACCCTGGAAGGATCTGACTGACTCCAGGAGGAGCAACTTGGCTGTCTAACCTGCCATGCTGGGAGCTAAGGAGATTTAACACCACTGCAGATGGCTGCCTGCAGCCTGGCTGTAGGACTGTGGCTCCTGCTGCTTCTCCAGGATATCCAGACAGCCCCACAGGTAAGGCAGCGTGGCACCAGGATCCTGCAACACCTGTGGATCTGGGGGCACCCTGGGCTGCAGGGCTGTCCTGCCCATAGGCTGCGTGCTGGGTAGCGGGGGTCTACAGAAACAGGCTTTGTGCACCACAGGGTGATAAAGGTCTAGAGCAGAGCTGTTGGGAGATAAGGGTATAAAGCTGAGCTGCTGGGAGGGTTCGCCTTCTCTGGGAACTTTCAGGCAGGAGCTGGGGATACAAACTACGATCTGCATCTTTTTGTTGGCATTGCTAGTGGTGCTGCACCTCCAGGCACCTCACAGCTAGGGAATGAGGAAAGATTTGATGGTGTGGGGGACTGTTCTCATTTCTTTGGGTGAGTGGCTTTTATTTTTGCCTGGATGGCCAGGTGTTCTGTGACAGGCACATTCCTTACAGAACTTGTTTCCCAGGGCTTCTGCTCACTCTGCTGATGTGAGCCAGGGCTGGTAAATGAAAGGTATAAAGGCAAAAAAAACAGTGAAATACCTTCCTCTTTACAACCGTCCACTCCTCTGACACTGATTTCCTCATGAATGGACTATTATTTCTGCATCAAATTGGCTTAAAATAGACATAGCCCACTAGTCACACTCAGCTGATGCTGTAGATGCTCCCTGCTCAGATCGTATCATTTCTTGTGGGTTTGCTCCCCCCACCTCAGTGAATCACGTGGCAACGAGCCCTCAGCACCTGGCATCAGTCCAGGTAATTTCCCTGGGTGACTTTCATGCTCAGACACACACTCACAAAAAGGTCAGTGGCAGAGGCCCTTTGCCCAGGTGAAGTCAAGCAGGTGAGTAATTGCACACTGTGTTGGATCCTGAAATTGGCTATTTTCCCTTGCAATGGAAATATGAGCATATACTGGCTTAAGACACCTGTCTGTACATTGTAAATGAATGATGTAGCACATCACTTGGGCTGTCAGGAGATTTTTTTTTACAAGAAACTGACTCTGATTAGATCTTTGAAAATAACCAAGTCCTGCATCCTCTTCATAGACATTTGAAAAGATCCTCCCGGCTCTTTTGGTAAGAGTAGGAGTTTGCCCTTGTGTCTTTAGTTGTAAATTCCCCTCCCACATTGCAAGTTTGCTCTGTTTTGCCCTGGTTATCTGTCCTGCCCCTGTCTCCTTCCTGAAATCTAGCAGGATCACTGTTCTTCTATAGGACTGGAGTCTGTAGTCTTTATCCACATGGGGAATTCTTAGGAGAGCATCCAGATAAGATTGCCCAGTCTGCTGAATGCAAACTGCTTTAAGAGAAAGGCAATGGAGAAAAGATGGAATTTTTGCTATTTGACATAATTTTTGGTGTTTTGTTCACAAAATAAAAGGGACAGAGAGAAAACCTGTTTTTCTGATATTCGCTGCCAATATTCAGACTCACTGCAAAATCATCAGTTACATGGAATAAATATGTAGATCGTGCTGAGATGAGCAACTGGCTTTTCACTCTCTCTCTGTATTGCCTCTATCACAGCAACCTTTGCTTTTACTGCCACTGGAACACAAGTGGTAGTGTTTCATGTGAGCAAGTCCCAGCTTATTGGTCATATTTTAAACCATATTTCACCTCAACTTGAGTCCACAGGTTGGGTTTTGTTTGTTTTAATATTCAGTTAACTGTCACTTGTTAAAAATGTCTTTACTATCAAGCAGATGAAGCTTGATTACTTGAAGTCTTAGATTATCAGCTTTTTTTGTACTGTCAGAATTTGGATAGAAGCTTGAAAGGGAGTCAACTGTTTTGCTACAGTATTAGTCAGTTCTAGAATAGCCAATGCTGGTAGAAGATTTTTTTTTTTACGGTAATATGTGTTCTTCCTGACTTACAGCTCATTTGTAGCAAGCTGATTTCTTACTCTGCCTCACCATCACTTTTTCTCTCTGAGCTCAAAAGACCAGACATAAATGAGTCAAACCTTGTCCTGACTGAATTGCAGAGTAGCCCACTGAATTCAGCACCACCTTTTCAATTGCCATTATTTAAACTGGAATAACAAATGTGTTTGTACATACAAGGAAAATGAGAAGAGCTACAAAAAGTCTATTTTCTAAAACAAATTCTTAGAAGCAAGTACTGAAAACCAAATGTTCTGTATCAAATTTGTTTGCTTTATTTAATTGGGCCTTGATCTGCAACACTTGATAAGAGAAAACGAGGGTTGGCCTGGTAGGTCAATGAAAGCACTAAACCAGGGGGTCTCTGGCCACCCTGTTACAGAGCAGCCCAAACACAATATGAATTGTGGTCTTGTATTTCACAAGATGTATTCTGTATTCCAGCTCCTGCTAAATCAAAAACCTTTAATTGAAGTGCAGGCAGGAAGAGGTTAGTGAAGTTCAGTCCCTGTCTCTCCGCAGTTGAACAGCGTACTGAATCCCATATATGAGCTTCTTGTATCAGAGCAAAACCAGATGTAAATTACTGGTCTGATATAGACTCATGGCTTGTTCAAATTTGTTCAAAAAATGTGGACAGATTAACTTTGTAGTGGCAGGTTTTGCTACACCGGTGATTGTTTACTGCACCATTTTACCTTCTTGTGAGTTTAAATATTCATCTGCTCCTCTACAGCTGGCAAAAAGCAGCGTTCACTCTGCAGTGTGTCCTCAGGCCCAAACCAGGTCACACCAATTCTGCTGTAGTGCACAGATGCAGAAATAGTGTCTGTGAGGTTTCCCGTTGCAGCCGTGGCCGTCAGCAGAGACCTGTCACACACCGGGGACACCCTGCTCCTGGCCACACACTGCCACCAACGTTCTTGCACTGAATGTAGAGCAGGTGACTGTGCAGCCACAGGGTGAGTTGTTTCAGTGCCCTAAGCCCCTGAAAACCAACTTCACAAATTCAGAAAGCAGAGTTTTCAGTCGAATGAATTTCTAGAACTGATTCATCCTCTGGAAACACAATTGCTGTGTCTTAAATGAGCAAGGATTTGGGGAGGAAGGAAAATGTGGGCACAGGCAAGAGAGGGGAGGTGGGATCCCACCCTTGAATGGCAAAGAGCCACAGCATTGCTCTAATGGACACAGATTCCCACTTTGCTCATCCATTCTTAGTACTGGCCCATCCATTTAGAGTTTCCTCAGAATCAGAGGGAAGGACAAAGACCTACTGTCCACCACAGCTGGATTCCTCACCCATACCCACCAAAACTCCTGTGATCTTCCTTCAATTTTAAAGGATTTTTTAATAATACGTATTAATCAACATAACTGTAGGTACTAACGGACAATACTATAGGTCATTGGGATAAGATTGGTATTTCTTCATTGAGACTGCATTATCTTTTGGAGAGGGGACAGGGGAATATCCAACGTCTCCTTTTCTCTTCAGGAAACACTAGGAAATGTTGCCTTAAAAAGTGAAATTGTGCTAGAATTTTTGATTTCCCTGGCAGAACCTGAGTTCTCTTTCTGTCTGCCTTGAGATTCAGGAAGAGTGGATAAGGAGAAGGGACAGTCAAAAACTGAAAGAGAAAAATACTTTAAATGTTAATTAAAAAGGATTTTGAGGTTACTGTATTTCATTCTGTTCCTTGCAAAGATGAGGAGAGTTTGTTCTGTAAAACCTACTGGAGATGTCCTTGGTGGAGCAAAGCCCCATACTAGTTGCTGCTGAGTATGGATTATGCCACACTCTTCAGTGTTTCTAGGCATTCCAGGAAGAAGAGGAGGGAATGGGGCAGAAGTGAAAGTTGTTACACACAAATCCTTCCCTACAAAATGAGTATTAAGGGACAAAAATGATGAGGTGAATGTTTCCTCACTGGCTAATTGAGAATTTGTGTAAGCACATGGAGCCAGGAGCTTAGTGTTTCTTTTTTTGTGCACCTCTACACAGAGGCACCCTGGAACCGCGAAGGTGAACACCCCACCCCACCCCTCACAGCTGATGCTGTTTGTAAAAAGGTGATAGCGTTGAGGTTTTGTAATGCGAGGCTGAAACTTTTTTCTGTCTCCTTTGCTTTATCCCTTCCTTTCATTTCAAGAGTTATTTATGAGCAACTAGGACCTGCTAACTCAAACCTTAACCTTCAGCTTCTGCCTAACAGTCGTAATTTAAATAAACTGGTTTTGCTCTGGAAAATTAGTTTTATTAGTTATATTCACACAGGCCTAAGTCAAAGTAATTAAATTCATATGTTCTTCTGAGACAGGGTTAGATTTTCACTGTCATCCTAGAATGTATTAAAAAAGGATTCTTGGAATTAAGTTCATACTAACAAATGGGACAATGATCCAAGGCAGACGACTTTCACTATTTTGTAGTTAAACCTTATGTGTCTTATTCAGTATTTTATAACACTTGGTTTTGTCCAAGCACTCACAACCAAAAATATGTTAGAAATGTCTTCATGCTGAGATTTTTGTTGGCAATGAGAGCAGTAAGAGCCCACATGCTTTTCCTTGCTGCTGTGTTCTTCTCGAGCCATCGCATGATAAGGTACCACTTTTAACAGGAATTTTTCCCTTTTCTCCTCACTGCTCTTGTGATTCCCTCCCTGCTTTTAGGTGACCCCTGTTCTGATTAAGGCTTGACAAGAGGGACATTTCCTTTAAGAATTTCTGCATCATCTCAGTCACGGTGCAGGAGCCCAGGAGAGGCTCCGCAGCCGTTGGTGACGCAGCGCGTGTCTGCGCTGGGACATCAACGCTGCTGCTGCTGGCGGGAATTTTTCGCAGAATTTCCCTCATCTAAACAGGATCATTCTGTGCTGTCACCAGATTCCTTTGTAGCTGCAGTGTCAGAAGGCAATTAGCTTTTCCCCTGCCTGTTTTGATTATAATTGCCCACGTTTTTGAGTGGAAACATGCTTTTATGTTTCACCAGAAAAGCTAGAGGGAAGGTAAACTGTAAGTTCTGCTGTAGCACACTGACTTATCGTGGTAGCAGTTGTCCTTAACTGTGAGTGTTGGCAGGATAAGAAGTGTTTACAGCACCGTCAGTGACAGTTTGGACAAGATTTGGTAAAAGCAAGCAAATCTAAAGTTAAGGACCCGGTTGGACCAGAGGGACACTATGTCCTCTGTGCCCATACCGAGTTTATCTGGGGTTTCCTGGTGCTACTACCACAACCTCCCCCACAACTGTAGATAGACATTGGACCCAGTACAGCAAGGACTTTAACACATCTGAGGCTGAGCAATGATAGAGCCAGGAATGGAACCACCAACCCTGAACATGAAGCTACGGGGCCCTTTCCTGCCCCCAGCCTTGTGGTCACCTCTCTGTCACGTTGCTGTGGGTTCACACAGAGTTGAGCCTGGAGGTCCGAGCTCAGTACTGGACTACTCAGACAACAGGAGTTCACCCAGGTCATTTTGATATTAGCAGGTGAGGATTAGAAATCCAGTTTGTGTTCCAGCTGCAGTTGGTAGTAGGCTTACTACTATATAGAAGTGATAAGTTGCTATGGAAAATAGACATGCAGTTTCAACAGCCTTAATTTTTGAGAAGCTCTGCACGTATGTTGCTTCAATAATTCTGTAGAAAGCTAATGCTTTCTTTGCCCAAGCCACTGAAATATTTTTTCCTTTTTAACAGTATTGGTTAACCAGCATTAAAATATTTCGTAGCTCCAGCACTCCATCATCGTTCTACCCAGGAACAGCAAGAGAAATACGCATTAAGTATTTTACAGTCCCTCCAAATGTGGATGGATTTGATGGCTGATGTCTAGATTTCTGCCGTTAAAAAGGCAGAACAGCTGACCCAGACATTTCTATCACTTGGAGTCTTCATGTACAAAGAGATCTGAGATAATGGTCAAATCAAGAAAATGCATAAGGTATTTTTTCAGAGGCACCGAGTCTTGAAAAGAGTGTGACTGGAAAATTTGTAATATAGAATTCCCTGTATTTCTTGGTGAATTGCTTCCAGCAATCTCTTCCTAATTAGAAATACTGAGCTTATCAAAAGAAAAGGTCAAACAAGCCAATATTTTATTGCAAACTTGCACCCTGATTTCCCTAACTGAAGGTGAGATGTTGGAGGTGGTATTTTGCATGTGGGAAGAGCAGTTACAGGTGGCGAAACTGAGGTAATTCACGTGTTCAGTCATTGAGTGGGTAAATTACCTCAGTTTGGGCCAATTGCTACCCACTAATAACACACATTTTTGTTCCCTTTTCACTTCATATCTTTGGCTGGTTATTTTTTGGTTTAGTTAACTTATTACTCTGATATTCATTACACATAGACAGAAAAATGAAAGTTGTGTTATCCCTGTATGGCTGACTTCCCTTCACCCTTCTCCCAAAAGCAGCCTGATCAAACCTCTGCAGAAAATGAGTGGGCACCATCATTTTATGGAAATGAGACCTTGCCCCTTCACCTCTGCCATTTCTTCAAGGTGTGTTCTTTGCTTTTGGACACCAATTTGTTTCACTCCCCTAAAAACTCATGGAAATTTCGATGAGTTCTTAGTGCAAGAGCTTTTTATTCTAGATGCATGAAAACTTGAAATTTAGCTTACCAAACACCTATAAGAAGCAGAGCCCATATCATCTTTAGTGGCACTTGCCTTTCCACGCTGCCGCTTTTGCTCAGGTAATTTATTTAGAGCTTTTCAGCCTGAAGTACTATAAAGGTCTGGCGACTTGGTTTATGCTTAGGTCCTTACCTTAAAGTTTGCTGTCTGCAAAGGGCCAGTCTTTCTGCTTGGTTTAAGAGCAGAACTTTGCATCATTGCATTGCTGTTACATGTCATATCTTTTAAACACGTTTAGCAGGGGGTATGGATTAGGAGTGGTGGGGTGTTCAGAAGGTGGTTTCCCAGCCATAGAAATTATAGAATCATAGAACTGTCTGGGCTGGAAGGGATCTTTAAGATCACCTAGTCCAACCATCAACCTCACTGATAAAAACCATCACTAAACCACGTCACTAAGCATCATGTCAACCTGGCTTTTAAATACCTACAGGCATGGGGCCTCAACCACTTCCCTGGGCAGTCCATTCCAAGGCTTAATAACCCTTTCAGTGTAAACATTTTTCCTAATATCCAATCTGAACCTCCTCTGGTGCAACTTGAGGCCATTTCATCTGTCCTGTCGCCAGTAACTTGGGAGAAGAGAGCGACCCCCGACTCTCTACAACGTCCTTTCAGGTAGTTGTAGAATTTGTTAAGATGACTTATTTTTACAGCGGAACACCTTGGGCTTGGCTTATTAAACAGTAAAGGTGGCTACAAAGCTGTGCTCAGAGCTGGACAGTTGAGAGCAGCATTTTTTGTGAAGCTATGGATGTCACGTACTGTGTAGCTGGGTGTAGTATTTAGCTGCCCTCCTGTGGAAAGGGAAAAAAACCACATTGAGTACTCTTTCATATGTATAGTTTCATAATTTGTGCATTATGTCTGCATAGTTCATGCAGCAATTTAGCACAGCACTAGCATCAAGTCAAATTCATAATCAGAATTTGTACTGCTGTAACTGAAAGCAGAATCAAATCCTAAACTCCCGATTTCAATATTTTAGACAAGGTCACTTTTTTAAAAAGCAGCCCTTCCCTTACCTTTTTACTCCGACACTATTCCTTTATTTAAACCCCAAAAGAGGCAGTTAAATGAGCTGTATGATTGTGCTGCATAAATCATTCAAGAATTTTGTTCTCACCCCAATGAAAAACTCAGCATCATTTGCAGCCGGAGCCGGTTGCCCAGGAAGAGAAGATCAGGTCTTTGTGGTGACTTCCCATAGCTCTTCCAGAGAAAGCTACGATGAGGATGCTGTTGTTTCTTACATTTTCTTTATAAAATTAGCTAACCCACTTTGTATCACTGAAATGACTCCTGAATGACCTTTTTTTTGTGTCATTTCCTGCTGTTCGGTGTGTGGCAGAGCAGCTGGCTAACCTGGGTGCTTCTCCACACAGATGCAAGGAGATTCTACTTCCTTTTCCTATAGTTGAGGGCTTCCTCCTCAGAAAAGAAAAATGGAGGGTGCAGATTTGTAAACTTGATTTGCTGATTAAGCAGACATCTGCGATTTCCTCTACACTGTAACTAGAAAAAGTGCTTTGTAGGGAAGCGGTGTAGCCCAGTGGTTAGTGCAGAAATGTGTCAGGCAGGGTTTCTCACTTCTATTACTGGAGCTCGATGAAATTGAATGGTTTCAATATGTTTCTATTTCTTGTCCTTTTGATAATTTCCTCCTTGACTGAAAGTTCCTGTTTTCTGATGTAACCTGGGGGCAAGTTAAGTAACTTCTGTGTTTTATGGTCCTGGTGTAAAAAGCACAGCATATTAAACAGGAGAATACAGCTGTGAAATTAATTAGGTTCTGCACTGCATACAAAGGCAGTAGAAGACAGTAGGTGTTATTTCAAAGGCCAATGGAAAATTCATCTGCAGAAAGTGAGATGTAGGTCTTCTGAAATATTTAACTTCTCTACCAGTATCATGGGGGGAAATCTCTGGGGAATCTGCTGATTGATTCTTTACAAAAAATTGCCATTTATACCTTCTAGCAAATACCGAAAATGAAATACAGATAACAACATTTTTAGGGGATTATTAAGGGAGATGCCAAATTCAAAAATCAGATTGTCTCATCAGCAAACTTGCAGCGCTGTAATTTCCCACAGCATGTAGTGGCCCTGTCATACAAAAATGAAGTCTTATTATAGTCTTGATTGTATTCTGGATACAATTCATAGATGAGTCTCATTTTCTAAGCCAATATAGAGGGCTCCGGGGAGACCTTAGAGCCCCTTCCAGTCCCTCAAGGGGCTCCAGGAGAGATGGGGAGGGACTCTGGATCAGGGAGGGGAGCAATAGCATGAGGGGGAACGGTTTTAAACTGAAAGAGTGGAGATTTAGAGGAGGTATTAGGAAGAAATGTTTCACTGTGAGGGTGGTGAGAGCCTGGCCCAGGTTGCCCCGAGAAGCTGTGGCTGCCCCATCCCTGGAGGGGTTCAAGGCCAGGCTGGAGGGGGCTTGGAGCAACCTGGGCTGGTGGGAGGTGTCCCTGCCCAGGGCAGGGGGTGGCACTGGGTGGGCTTTAAGATCCCTTCCAACTCTAACCGTTCTGTGATTTCATTCCTATGCTTAAATGACTTTCAGAGAAAAGAGACTGCTTAGTGAAGATACATATTGAATTATTTCTAAATACACTGAATATTGCATTCTTTGCTTAAGCATACGGGCAACAGTAATTTAGTTGCTTTGGGGATAATTGAACTTTCAAAAAGCTGTAGGGTTTTCTTTACCATCTGCAAGTACCATCACTTGAGACAGCTACTGGGATCTGCTCTAATGCAGAACTAATTCTTTTCTAATTATGTCTTTTGTCTGTTTCAATTTCTAGACATCATTAAACCCATCTCATTCCTGTGATACACTTGAGAATTGGTTCTATGATGAATCTTCACGAAGCTGCTGTTACCAGTGTCCCTCAGGTCAGTATGGTTATAATTCAGTCAAATTAACATGGAGCCTTTCTTGCAGAGATAGCAGGAACCATGTGTATCTGCAGAATTGCATTTTGTCCCTGAAGAAAAGTGGAATTTCATGAATCACTCTCTAGTGTGGATCCAGATGTGAACCTGTTCTCCACTGCCCCTGCTCCTGTTCAGTCTGCCTGCAAACAATCTGTGAATTGTAAACTAGATAACTTGCTAGAATTTTCAGTGTGTTTTTTAGTGGTTGACTTGAGACTCTGAAGTAGCTAGAAGTAGGCAAGTCTAAGAATTCATTTCAGCTTTCCTCGGGGTGTGAAACAGTGAGTGAAATTAGGCTAAAGAAGTTTCTCATCAGAGACAAAAATTATAAAATTAAGGTGTGGGAAGACAGTCACTATCCTCATAGACAAAACAGTTTAGAAAGTATCTCACATGAGAAAGGGAACAGCCCCTTGTGAGGGGACACAGTGAGCTCTGCAGGAAGCTCGTGGTGACTCAGAGACACATGAGGGCAGAAGCAGGAAACACGTTGGTGAGACAAGAGTTCTGGAAATGTCTGAAACTCCCCCTGTTGGTCAAAAAACCCCTCAGTGGGTGGGGCATTTTATGGTACTTCATCATCATCAATCTCTTCTTAGAGAAGTGTTTTCTTTTTCTTTTCTTTTCTTTTCTTTTTTTTAAGGAAATTTTTGACATTTATTTGTGCTGTAATAATGAAGAGGGCTTTCGCGCTTGGCTGCTGGCATTTGCATGCAGTTACACCAGGGTTCCCTCTGGGGCACCTTGTGCTGCGGCTGCACCACTGGAGTCAGTCAGAGCTGTGCAAGTGTGAGAACCCAGGAGACACAATAAGTAAACAAGACCAAGGGATGGAGAAACTGGTCCCATAAAAGAAGAAAAGGGGCGGGGATCTGACTCTGAGCCAGTCCCAAGAAAAGCTCTTTTCTCCTTCAAAACCAGACTTTGCAAAAGCTCCCATAATGACAGGTGTCATCGTGAGCAGAGACCTGATTTACATCTGGCTGTAACGAGCCACCAGTCTCAATCATTTCATCTCTGCTTATTCTTGAAACTCGTTTTGTTACCACACCCTCACGTCAGTCTTGGACATCTCTTCCAATCCTCCAGGGCCTCCTTCACAACAGAAACTCATAAGAATACCTTTTCATTTTAATTTTCAAGCAATAACCTCTCCGTATCTGCTACTAATTCAGCTGCTCACTGCAAAGAACGAACCTTTTCTAAAATTCCATGTAATCAAAGTGAACTCTTGCTGCAGCCTGGCTTTACTTTCCTTGGTGTTCCAGCCCACAGATTGCAGCTTTCAGTCTGAGCACAGTGGCCCACATACAACCATCCTCTGCTTCCAAGTTAATTTCAAGTTCAAGATAAACTTCAAATCAAACCTCAAAAGATCATTCTAATCAATTTCTACAGTTGCCACATCTCTTGTCATGTACTTAATTCTTGTGCAGGTAAAATGAGACTTCATACCTGGGATACCAGAAGAATGTTTTCTTTCTGTCATCACAGAGCAAAATATTTCCCTCCTGTCAAGGGGAGAAACAGAGACTTCCATGGAAGATAATGGTATATGCTGGAACAGCTCATGTTATGCAGAAGTTGTTATTCCTCTTCACTTCTGTTTATGGTTTTTTAACTTTTTTGTTTGGTTGGGTTTTTTTGTTTTAGACTCTAAATCAGATATCCAGCTCCACAAGATAGTGCTGCAGTCAACACTCAAGATAATTTCCCACCCATAGTTAACAGCAAATCTTCAGGAGTGAATGACTGTACATATCTGCAAAAGAAAAACACTTAAAACACTTATTTCATCTACTTACTTTCAGTACATCTTTCCGTACAGGTGACTGCAGCTGGTGTTCCTACTGCTCAGGTTTTTATCTGGTGGTTGCACTATGAGCACGATCAGTGGAGATCAGCACCAGAAGACACTGTTAGGGAAGCTTCAAAGCTACTGCACCTGGGGCATGTATTCCCCAAGGGAGGGACCCATGTGCACAGGAAATCTGAAATAACTGAAGTTAAAGTTTTTGGGTCATTGGGGGAGGAAGGGGAAAATGACACACACTTGCAGGTACACACGTGTGCAGCTTGAGTGCTAAGATTCAACCCCCCTTGAAAAGAATAGTCTGAGACAAGTAGTTTTGAGGAGGTGGGAGTGATGTGGGTCAGGCTTGTCTGGTGGTATTTACTGGGCCAAATATAGCACAGCTGTTTTTGCCTGCACTCCTGCATCATACTTGCCAAAACAAGGTGTGTTATTTCCCTGCCAGGTTCCCCCTCCCCGTGGGGAGCATCAGAAAAACATACATACGTAATTTGATTTCTTTGAAGGAAATTAAACCATCTCACAACTGTCAACAAACACTTCAGGGTGGTTTTCCCCTCTGATTCTGAACAGGTATCCTGCATATTTTGTTTTCTTTCCCCAGGCTATGTTAAAAAGAAATCCTGTCCTAGGGACCCAGCTGGAGACTGCATGAGGTGTGGACCCGAACAATATGTGAATAATGAAGAGTCCCAAAAGCCACGATGTGACGCTTGTGTATCATGCGCAAAAGGTTTGCTTTCCCTCACTCATGCTTCACAGTTATATTCTATGTATTTTATTTACACTTTATATATATATATATCTATATTTTTAATTTATTCATTTACAATTTCCAGCAGCAAAATTATCCATCCTTGGTTACTGATTTAGAGAGCAGAATGCTGCCCTGCACGTAATCAGAATCGCTTCCTGAGTGACCTGGGACAACCTAAAAAATCTCTCATCCAATGCTATCCGAGTCTGATTTCTGCTTTCTGTCTTATATTACAAGCCATTGCCTACAGATTTCTTCAAGTATTCATGACTTAAGTTGCCAGCATGAAGAAGGCCAGCAGCCTGTTCTGCTTCCTCAGCCTTTGAACCGGTGTTGCTCGGCTTTGGCCCCTGCTTTGCGTTTTCCTTTGTTGCCACATCTGTTTCTTCCCCCCAGAATCTGACCTGGTGGAGAAGAAGCCCTGCTCCTTCAATTCCAGCCGCGTGTGCGAGTGCCGCCCGGGCCTCTTCTGCCAAACCCCTGTTGTGAACACCTGCAGCCGATGCCAGCAGCACACCGTTTGCCAGCCTGGCTTTGGAGTCAAAGTCAGAGGTAGGAGACCCTCCCTGCCTGGCTTTCCTGTTCTGATCTTGGCCACAGGCCTGGACCTGGGGCATCTTGGTTGGCCGGTCGGTCCTCAGTCGTTATGTTTATTTAGGCACCTCAACAACTGATGTTACTTGTGAAAAGTGCCCTGCTGGGACCTTCTCTGATCAACACTCCAGCACGGACATCTGCAAGCCCCACACAAAGTAAGTTCATAGCTCTTTAAAGTGACTAAGTAATTAATTAAAGTTAAGAAAGGACAAAAAGGGACACCTGCCACTTCTGGTGTAAAGAAACAGATTTATCTTAGAGGCAATGGGATAGCTTTGGGCCTATGCACAGAGTTTAGAAGGCCTCTCTTGTACAGCTCTACTGGAGGAAGGAAGGAGCCCCTCTTGCCTCAATTGTAGTTTACAGAGTGCAGTGGAATTATACACACGTGTGAGTATCAGGTTTGCATCCAGGTCAAGAATTAATGCCACAGGGGTGAGAAGAAGAGTCATGACTTTTTCACTGAAAGCAATAAAGGCAGGTGGTATAAAAATGACCAAAGGGATGTTTGTCGCATAAAAATACTCTTGTCTCCACCATGGCAATTTCCCCTGTTGCTGACACACTGTTTTCTGGTATTCCTTAGCTGTGCCAAGTTAAACAAAGTAGCTCTACACAAAGGCAATGCCACACACGATCAGGTTTGCCTGGATGAATTGCCCACCCACCTCACCCCAAGCACTTTGTCCATGAGATTCAGCGATGAAACAAATAACTCTGGCATCAGGAGGCGTGAGGAGAACCCGGTGACCATTGTTAGCATCCTCTTAAGGGCCACAACAACTGAAAATCTCAGTTCAACTCCTGAGAGTAAAGCTCCACCTGGAACTTCTCCTACATCAGCCAAGGGGGAGATGACAACGGGAGGTAACAAAGATGAAGTGTTTACTCTGTCTAGTGTGCTTTATTTGGGTATATCTTTGGTAAATATATTTCTGTGGGAGCCTCTTGCAAATCTTCTACAACTTGTGAAATATTGTCCGTGGTTCTATGTCCAAACACATAGATCTACTAATAGTTGCCCCCCTGCCTTTTCTTAGCCTTTCCTTTCCTCCCTTTCCCTTTCTGTGCTGTAGGTCTCGTTCTCTGGGGAGTGGTTCTCTCTGGGATGGTGCTTCTTGTGGGCGTGCTGTTATTTTGGAAAAGGAAGGTTTGCAAGAAGCGGATCCTCATCCTCAAAGGAAAGCGTGAGTTTTTAAAGCTGTTAATACACCTGTTTGGTTATATGCCAGCCAGGAATGCAAATATCCCAAAATTTTGTGGAGGTCATTGGTTAAACTGTGAGCATGAAAAGAAGAGTGATTTTTGCTGATACTGACTTTCTTTAGCTTTGCCTAGAATTACACGTGGGGTGTGCCTGTGGAACCACATTCCCTCTTTTATAGAGAGCAAGATGTGCACACTGTAGGTTGGTTGTAGAGCTGTGGGTCTGGTAAAGCTGTTGGGGCCTGTGTGCTCCACGATGAGTTTTACTAAATGAACGGTTTCTTTTAGCAGCACATCTGCAATCCGTCATCGCACACAAACCCAGGCTCAAATCTCAAGGTAAGTCACTGACGGACCAGGAGTTGTAAACCACGTGTCTAAAGAATAAGTGGAGAGTTTTAATGTGGAACTTTACTTTATGGGATTTTAATTTAAAACGTGGAACTTTTCCATATCAAATCTATGTCTTTGCTGATGTGCAAAAGGCCCCGCGCGGGGGGACGCGGGGATGTCACGAGCCACTAGATGGCGCTGTTTCCCGCGGCAGCGGCGCGGTGCCCGTGCAGCCAGGCCTTATGGAGCAGCGCCCGGTTAGTGTGGGCACTCCGATGGGGAGACATCTCCCAAAAACAGTGGTGTTACCCACTGCAACCTGTGCTCTAGAGTACACGTATTGTGCTCAATTAACTAATCCCCTCTTTGCACTTTCATTTCCATTGACTGATCTATTCTCTTCAGTTGTGTTAGATATTCCTAATTACCAGACATCAGAGCTTCTTCTCATTTATTCAGAAATGTGATTTAAAATCTCTTGGGTGCAGCTTAATTTTCTCAAAATGGGATTTTTGCTTCCTTACTTGCCTTATGCAACAGAGACTGTTGCTGTGCAGATTAGAGAGCTGATGCACTGGAGATAAAGATGACTCCTTGGCAGGGTGAAATTCCACAGTGGGCCTCAGCCTGTCTAGCTTCATGCTACAGCAGAAGGATGCTGTACACTCCCTTCCTTTCCCCAGTGTTCCTGTCTTCCATCCTTGCATAAAATCCCATTCCCTAAATATTCATCTGACCACACGCTGAACTGATACAACTTGTTAATTCAGTAGAAAGTTATTAACATTTTTTTTACCTTTTTTTTTTTTTTTTTTTTTTATAATGGCTTTTTTCCGATTCACAGGCTAAACTTTTATTTCTGTTTTCTGGCAAGGTAGAAAGGTTTGGCTGTGGGCTTAGAGATTCTCCGCTTCCATTTCTGTTTCTGCAGAATCATATGATATACATTATAATTTTTTAAGGCCAGACTTTGGACTGTGAAATCATCTCTGGAGAAGATCACAGGGGAAAGTGTCT